ATGTTTACAGAGGGAAGGAGGAAAAATAGCAACAAGTGAGTTGCTCATTCTAACAGCCGGTACAGTAATGGCAGGCTAAATGGCCTCCTCCTATGCTGTAACAATTCTGTGATCAAATACAGTGACCAGATTTTGTAACATTTATTTGTTTAATGCCTTTAAAATATTTCAGAAATTTCAAAATTGCTTTGTAACTAATTAAGTTGTTACAGGCAAAGGGCAGCCATTTTTGCAACAGCAATGAGATAAATGACCAAATCCTTCTGGATTGGCGACGTGGTTAGTTTATTAGTTAGACCTTTTCCCCTCACACTTCAGCTTGAACATAATTTTTCACTAACGCTAGTCAGACAGGGAGAAAAACATGGTATTTGGGCCCTCAGTAAATGATCAAACTGTAAAATTTAAGGAATAAGACAAAGAAAAAATGAACCATGGAGAAAGTATGTGAATTAGAGTAAAATAATAAATAAAGATCAGTTAAGATAGTGAACAATGAGCGAGAAAAGTAAGGGATAAAATAAAATATAAGGTTTGAAATTTGGGAAGTATAAACTTTTGAATTTTATTAATCTAAGAAACATTTACCACATGCAGGATTTTTTTTCAAAATCAGTCTGTTCAGAAATGTTATGACACACCTCTGCAGCAGGTGGCACTTGAACCCAGGTCTCTTTATCCACAGGTAGGGACACTACCACTGCACCCACATGCAGGAATGAGTCCTACAGTTTAAAAGAATGCACCTGATGGATTTATTAGTGTTGTATTAACAATTATTAGGGTACTTGCTGTTAGATACCAGACCCTGCTTTCAGAGACAAGTTTAAGAATGGTTAGTGAGGCTTTTGTCACACAGTGATGTGTCCCAAACTCTGAGCCAGGAGGTCTAGTTTCAAGTGCCATCTGCTCCAGAAATATGTCATAGCACATCTGAACAGGTTGATTAAAAAATACCTGATAGCAGTTAGTGTGCAAATCCAGCATCATAGTCATAGAGTCATAGAGTCATATAGCATGGAAACAGACCCTTTGGTCCAACTCGTCCAAGCCGACCAGATTTCCCAAACTTAACCAGTCCCATTTGGCCCATATCCATCTCAACCTTTCCCAGTCATGTCCCTGTCCAAATGTCTTTTAAATGTTGTAATTGTACTCACCCCTACCACTTCCTTTGGCAGCTCATTCCATACCTTCACTGCCCTCTGTGCCCCTCAGGTCCTTTTTTAATCTTTCCCTTCTCATCTTAAACATATCTCCTTAAAATTAATGAGAAGACTAAGGATGAGATAATGTTTGTGCAAGGTAAATCAAACAGCTTATTCTGGAGACTTTCACATTTATCTATAAAACCTCTGGCCGTCTTGCCATTAATATTGGTATATGTCATAAATTACCCGATATTTATCTGGAAAGCTATGGCCCATTCTGTCTTTGATGTGTTTTAGAGATGAGTGTTGGCCAGGACACCAGAAGGACTTGCTTTGATTGAGGCCATGAAATATTTTATGCATACCTGAAAAGTTAGTCAGACTCTGTTTAATGTCTCATCTTACAGACATCTCTGACATGGCAACACTCCCTCAGTTTAAGTGAAGGCTTCTGCTTTGATTGTATCAGCATCACAGACTAGTTCTATATTCCACCGACATATCTGAGTGTGGTTAGCACTAACTCAACCAGGCTGGTTTGTGTGTGGCAGTTTGTTATGGGTCTTGAGCCTTTCCTTTTGTTCTTATTCATTAACGGGGTGTGGGCGTCGCTGACTGGACCAACATTTATTGCCCATCCCTAGTTGCCCTTTCAGAAAGAGGCGGTGAGCTGCAGCCTTGAACTGCTGCAGTCCATTTCTGATACAGAAGCGAGTGTCTCCAAAGCCAAACAACACAGAGTGCCTAAACTTGAAGCTTTTAATTTGTTTGTGCAATCCCCAACCATTTAAAGTTAAATTAATCCAAATTGTTGCATCCTGTAACAAAGGGGTGTTGATTCATATATTGGTTATCTATTGCATCTCCATTGTTCCCAGTGTTTATTGTGAAACAGTTTGTGACCTGGGAGAGGTTAAATGTTCATTATCTCTGCAGACTGTGGGTTTCAATATAATTCCTGGCTCTTGGTATCAATCCAAGGGAATTTCCAGATGAGTTCTGGTGAACTGTTTATACACTAATAATTATTTTAAAATATTTTCTGTAACTGTTTCTTTTCCCCAAGTCTCTCATTTTTCAGAGATAGTAGGAACTGCCGATGCTGGAGAACCTGAGATAACAAGGTGTAGAGCTGGATGAACACAGCAGGCCAAGCAGCATCAGAGGAGCAGAAAAGCTGACGTTTCAGGTCTGGACCCTTCTTGGGAGTTAACAGCCAGCCTGAAAAATGAGATAACGAGGTGTAGCTCTGGATGAACACCCCAGGCAAAGCAGCATCCGAGGAGCAGGAAAGCTGACGTTTCGGGTCTGGACCCTTCTTCAGAATTTCTCCATTAATTACCATTACTCTAATAAAAGTATTTCATAGAAAATGTGTTTAATATTAACTATTTAGTTAATAAACACTCAGGACAAACTATCCATTCATTGCACATTCTTGAAAAGCCCTCATTCATTTCTAAGAAAGGGAAGTAGTAACTAAGCGGAATCCAATCATTTGGAGAACTCTTCTACTCATCTGACCTTCTTTTCTTTGTAACCTGTATTGATGCTGGATCTGTAGAAACTAGCCTTTCCTTTCAAAAATAGATTTATAATTGAATGATGCATGTTGATGAAAATCTGGGCCATTCTCCAGGTTAAGTGAAACCATCACCTTGGATATGCACCATGGGGTATATTTTATGGTGATGTTGAAATGTCTACTTAAGGAAGGCCAACAAAATCCATCACTCTGGGAATGTGGGCCTTCTGCCAACAAACAGTTATCGAAAATCTTTGGGAACCAAAATTCAAGCTATTCACTGCAGTGGGCCTGTAGCCAGGCCATAATGGTTTCCAGGCCAGCTTAAATCTAGTTTTCAACACATTTCTGTCATGTTTCTCTGTTTAGACAGCGCTGATACATAAAAGCACAGATTGTGTTGAATAGGTTTGATAGTTTAGGTCATCTAGATTTTCAGCGTCCGGCTGTGTAAAAATTGGATGTTGCATTTCCTGTATTACCACAGTGATGGCATTTCAAAGTACTTCATTGGTTGTGAAATGTATCCTTGCATTCTTTTCTCCTGCATGGACTCACCAAACATCTGCATAGAAGTGTGTTTTGAAGAAGGCATTTTACACAATGCTGACTCCCTACTGGTAATTTATAGCCTAAACATCATAGTAAGAGTGTTTGGAAATATTATTCATTGCATCCAACTTCCAATAAGGAGAGCTGAGACCCCATATGTCTACTTCTCCTCAGGAAGATTTGTGACTCAATTATTTGTAGCCTCACACCCTATAAATACTTGGGACTTGATTTTCTTAGTAATGTTAATTTCATGTTGTCAAATGAATGGCATAAAGGAGTCTCTAGTGCTACAGTTGTAGTGTCCCTAACTCTGGGCCGGAAACTCCATGTTTAAGCTCTACCTGCTACAATGGATTAAAGAAAAGGCTCAGATAATGTCAATTGGAAAGGCTACACCCTGGAGTTTTCTCCCCCTTCACTCCAAGGATTGGCTTTCAGCAATCATAAAGGTGGATTTATGGATATGTGTTTCATTACTTTCTCTTACCCTGCACTGTTGCTAAAACAGTGTGTGTGGACAGATAGAAAGAGAAGGGAGAATATACTCCAGCCTGCTTGCATAGGCACCCAAATAAAGTGTCAAATATTTGAGTTTGAAGAAGAGTCTTCCAGGCAACACTGACGAACTTCTACTGGTATGGCTGCCAGGTTTGGGTGAAGCAATGTATGCTTTATTTGTGAATGATGGGAAGTCAGTACTTTTTCATCATTTGATAAAATTCTCCTCAGTAATTTGGTGGGATCCTCACAATGGATCAATACCAATGGAATCTTTTCAGGACTAAAATTGGCAACAGTCTTGTTTACTATTTGAATTCCACTGAGTTTTTGACACTTGGTCTGCAGTAGAATGTTTAAATCAAATAAATAATGGGAATTATTGCAGTATTTTACACAAGGAAATAGAATTTACTTCAAGTTCAGCAGAAATGATTTTACAAGCATCCCCTCATAATTTTCAACATTCATATTAATGGGCAAGAGCGGAGGGTTTGAGAAGGTTTGGTACCAAGATCAAGGAGAAAGGAGACATGAATTAATGTGTGTATGTTTTTTCCTACAGTCTTTATTGTTGTGCTAATCCTTTGCTCAGAGAATTAAGGAACAACCCATTGATTTTTTTTCTTTATTATTGGCAGCAATAGTATTTTGTAGAACTTGAATTCACTTTGTGAGAGTGTCTTGAATTTCATCTCTAGAGCTTGCAGGTGTCACTGACACCACTATGACCCTGACGCATGAAATTGAGCTCATTAGTGTCACTATAGTTGACAACGTAGAGACTGGATGTCTCAAGTTTTCTTTACTATTCTTTAGTCATACGGCCTTCCAAAATCTCTCTGGCCTTCTCCAGCTCTGCAAATCTCCTAAATCTGTAAACCTCCTCCAGCTGTGACAATCTTTCCAACCTCTGTAACTTCACCAGGCCTGTAGTCCTCCCAATTCTCCCCAACTTCTCCTAGCTCAACTCCCTTCCTCGTCCCAATACTTCCCTCCAGCTTTATAGCCCTCCCAATGTCTGCTATCATCTCCAACCTGAAGGCATATGATGGAGCACCCAGCTGATTTGGTTCAAGTCCTTTAAATTTGGACATGCCAACAAGTGAATGACCCTCATAACAGCTGGTCATATGCAGATTAAACAATAAAGAAAAACCAATTGAGCTAAAATGTGATTAGATGTCTTAAAAAGGATTAAATATTTCTAATTAATGATGTAAAACTGGTGCAATGATTATTTAATTCTTCATTTGTTTGTGTGTTTTCAGGCTCTGATGCATAAGGAGGTGACAGATGCTGTGTAGTCCTGGCTCTTATCTTTTCAACTGAGGAATCTGAGGTACAACCAAGGCCAATGGCACTGGTGTCAATGTGACAATTATCTTGAACTGTGTTGCCAATACCTAAATGAAACAGGAGTCGTGGGTGAGTGAGATGCTTCACTGAAGAGAAATCAAGAACTGTTTTCTAGTAGTTGGGCTTTTCTATCAATTGAGGACTCATTCAGCCTGAGAAACCCAGTACAATATGCCTGCCAAAACCCCTATGTATCTAAAGACTTTGACCCCAAAGCGGGGCAAGAAGATGAGATTGCGTGATGTTCTGTCAAGTGACATGATCAGTCCACCCTTGGGTGACTTCCGTCACAGTGCCCACATTGGGAAGGATGGTGAAAGTGACATGTTTGGGGACATTTCCTTCTTACAGGGCAAGTATGACGTCCTTCCAAACCTCAACCGGAGGCCAACTTCTCAAAGTACGGGGCAAGGACTGGATGGAGAATACAACTATGAGCGAGGTTTTAACAATGGAGCAGGTGACTATCCTACCCTCCTGAAGAATGCCGTCTCTCTCCCAGCATTCGATGGTGCTCACAAAAGCCAGGACCAGGAGCAAGCTCCTCCAAAGCCTCCTAGGCTCCACCTGGAGGAAGGCACTGGTCAACAGTCACTGTCGGTCAGCTCTACAACAGAATGTTTCCACAATGCTGAAGAAGAGTTTGCCACCCCCACATTCAGCAAAACAGGGTCTTCAGTTTCTTTATTGACGGAGTCGAACACTTCTTCAGAATGCTCAGTCATTGGCATTGAGCAGCTGGATGAGAAGAGAGCCTTAATCTTCAACAGCGAGATGTCCCTCAATAATGAGACCCTTTTCCCTTCTGACTCATACCTGAGTGGATCCGAATCTTCCCTTGGCTTGAACCTCGATTTAGGGCCATCCATATTGGATGATGTCCTCAGAATTATGGATGGATACAAGATCTAGCAAAATTGGTGGAAGGCTGTTGAAGGAATGACAATGACAATAGGGAGTGTCCAAACATGATCATATCACGTTGGCCACTGACAGTTCAGGCAAATGCTTACTCTTGGACTGAGAGAAAACATTTGAAACTGCTCCCGTGGTCTAATCACAGATATATCACTTGCTAAACTGGAACTGCTAAAAGGAATATCACATAAACTTAATTGGACATGAAGGATAACTAGTATTTTATCTTTAACTTCAACAAACTTCCTGGATGATACCAGAATTATATACAACACTGCAAGCCAGAAATGTTAAACTATTTCTTGAAAAACCTGTTAAATTCTTGACCTTGTGACTGTAAAAAAGTTGTTATTCCCTGTAGGATTACATAATAGTTTAGAACTCAGAGATATACATAATATGTTACAATTGAAATAACACTGAAATGAACTAGTTGAATTACTTGAGGTTTTACGACAATCTGATTCCCGAATGGTTCCTATTATTGATACCAGCCCTTTATCCCAGGGTTAAAAAGTTGTATAATGCAAGCAGAAATCGACTCCCAACTCTTCTTTGCCTTTCCTTCTTTGCAATCTCCTCCAGCCCTTATAAACCTCCCAGGTCTCTGGAACCTTTTCCAGCATCAATAAAACTCCCAAATCTCAGTAACACCCTTCAGTCCCAGTAACAATTCCAAATCTGTAACATCTTCAGTCCCCTATAACCTTTCCAAATCTCCCTAGCCATCTCTGGCCCCAACAACCTGGTCAGGGCGTCTCCAATCCGGCCTATCGTGCATTCCCAATTTCCTTTCTTGCACCGTTAGCTGCCTTATTTCAGCTGGCTGAGGGGGTTCCTAGGCTTTCTGTTTAACCTTTTCCATCTCTCTACCTTTTAGTTTAGAAATTTTCTGGTCACTCATTCAAAACTCAAACTGGTACAAAACTGAACAGGCTGTCCCTTCATCCCAAACTGTCTAAAACCCACATAGAACTGTTTGGATAAGTATCAGATTGTCCATTAGTTGATGCCAGGGAAGTGCTGGCTTCTCTTTATCCCTCATTTCACACGCCATATCTTCCCTTGTAAACAACCAACTCCCTGGCTTCTGTAATTACTATAATTGTATTTTCACAGCAAGTTAGATGAGACCAATTAGGTGGAGAGCTTGGTCACCACAATTCTTCTGTCATCTTATCCCCTGTGAGGGTGTCTGTGTAAAGGCGAACACATTCCTCCTGGCAGTCAGGCCAGGCTGATCCAGTCTGTATCATAAAGCCTTTCACTGATTTGGGAATGTGGAGCACTGGAATGTCTCCGGTTATTAAATGGGAGGATATCGTGTGCCTAGTGCTGTTGACCTCTCTTTTTAAATAGTATCCATTAATCAGCGTATGTCCTTGAGTAGGATTTATCACAAAACTGCCATCACTATGCAAGGAATGTATTGCACAAACATGTTCTTAGCAACTAAGGCTTTCTGTGGAATGGAATTTTATCTTTTTTGTTTGCATTTCTAATGTTAAAATACTCAATTGGTTATTCCCATTAAAGCAATTCCCATTTGTCTGACTGTCTCGGAATATGTTCTGATTTACTGAGCTGTGAGTTATCCATCTCTTCTGCTCACTATCCTTTGTTGAACTGGAAAAGTGCCTAGGTTACCTGACGGTCACAAGATTAGATGGTATAATATTCTGGGTCTTGGGTTACTGAAGAACATTATAGTGTATGCCAAGGTAAGGAAAATATTCACTTTATTTAAGAAACATCTTATTGTGGTTTCATCTTTCCACAAGACCACAAGAGAGAGCAGATCATATGACTGCATCACTTCCTAAGATGAAATACTTCATGACTCATTAGCAAATCAGGACTGAACTTTCCCACAATTTGCGGAGTTTCTGGGAATGCTAGCAACTTTTCTCATACAATTTTACCCTCTCACCTCATTAGGTATGCACTCTGATACCGCTGTACTGTACTGTTCGTGTTCAATCTTGCAGTGAAGGGCATACTTACCAGTGTCAGGACCTTACTGTGTTTGCACCACTGGTGCCATAGATGCCAACTGGGACAGTCTGTGTCAGTGGTCCAGAGGAACACATAGCAGTGGTGCAGGAAGGTTAATAACCTTACATGCACCTCTATTTGCTACCTCACCTTCAGTCTAACTCTGCCATTACACACACTTCGCCACTCTCAATATTGCATGCACTGTCTTCCCTCAATAGCTGTCAACCTCCTTCCAAAGCTACTACCTCTTCCTACCCTCTGTCCCTCTTGACTGAACTAAGGACTTCTCCCCTTAGACTTACAGGCATAGCCATTTGCTTGAAGCACAAACAGTGTGTTTGTCACGTAAGTTGCTGGCACATGTCATAGGTATGACATTGGCATAGCACAGTGTCACACAGCAACTGTCAACTGCCTTGTCTGTGCATTGCAGGTATTTATTAACAAGCTAACACAGTGTGGAGCTGGAGGAACACAGCAGGCCAGGAAGCATCAGAGGAACAGGAAAGCTGACATTTCAGGTCGGGACCCTTCTTCAGAAATTGTCGGGGTGGGGAGGCGCGGGTAGGGGGCTCTGAAATAAATAGAGAGAGGAGGGGTCGGGCTGGGGAAGGTAGGTGGTTTGGTGATAGTGAGCGCAGGTAGGTAATGGTGGGGGTTGGTCAGTGAGGTGGGAGGAGCAGATAGGTGGGAGAGAAGACGGACAGGTCAAGGAGGCGGGGATGAGGGGGAGGGTTGGTCATGGGATGAGTTCAGGGGTGGGGAAATTTTGAAGCTAGTAAAGTCCACATTGAGACCCTCCCTCTCATCCCCACCTCCTTGACCAGTCTGTCTTCTCTCCCAACTATCCACTCCTCCTACCTCACTGACCAACCTCCACCACTACCTACCTGCACTCACTATCACCACCCCACCTACCTTCCCCAGCCCCACCCCTCCTCTCTCTATTTATTTCAGAGCCCCCTACCCCTCCCCCATTTCTGAAGAAGGGTCCTGACCTGAAACGTCAGCTTTCCTGTTCCTCTGATGCTTCCTGGCTTGCTGTCTTCCTCCAGCTCCACACTGTGTTATCTCTAGCATTGGCAGTTCTTACTATCTTTTATTAACAAGCTTCCTGGTTTTCTGTCAGCGCTAAAAGGCAAAGCATGCAGAGATAACCATGAACACCTAAGAAAGTGCAAAGTGAGTGTGCATGCTAAGAATGCAAGTTAAGAGTCCTGAGATGAATCCTGTGCCAATGCATGAGAAGGATGTGTGTTCTTGAACATAAAGCAACCTGCAGAAGCACTGCAAAGTGCAGTTTGGAATTGCTGATTTGTATTATAAATTAATCCGTGATGTGCCATGATTATGCGGTGAGGCTGGTGCTTCAAGCATTTGATGCCCATGGAGTCTGGCCTGAGATATTGAGGATGTTGGCCAAAAGAGAGAGACCCAGAGAAGATGCCAGTGTGGTGCAGCCACACTGACTCTGACTTTCAAGTTGGGAATTAGAGTCGTCTATACTCTCAATAGTACCTGAGAAAAATACCAATTTACATAGAATTTAGGTGAGATTAGCTAATGATTAATTTTTTGGAAATTAGTCATTGCTGGAATTTACCTGTGAGATTCTCATTTCGATAGCCCACTTGGCAACCCAAGGGCATGAGTGGTCTATTGGCGTTGGAAATATACCACATCTGTTTGTAGGACAAGCATTATCTGTAGTTTGTTTATATGCTGTGGTGTTGTAGGTCTAGCCAGAGGCAAATTCATCAGGGAATGAATTAAATGAGTAATTGTTAAACATTATCCCACCTCTGTTGGTTATCAGGCTAAACACTTAAAGCACACTCATTAACAAGTCTAAGGGCAGAATTATGATGCTGAGTAAGTGGGCAACTGTGCACAATGTCCCAGTTGTCATGTGTCAGATCTTTGCCTAACCAATAAGCTGCAACTAAACTATCAGACTTAATTGTAGAGTAAAGAATTTATTTAATAGAAGCTACAATGTGGGCTACCCTCTGTTGCATTAAAGGCTTGAGCATAAATTTGAATCCAGCTGGAGTTCAGATTGCATAGGGGAAACTAGATGTGTGGGTGGCATCATGTTCAAGAGCTGCTGGAAATATTCTGCATTCCACCCCTGACAATAAGGTTCATGTTTGTTAAGATTGCTTAAAATCTCCAATGTACTTTGCCATTTGTTGGTCGGTCCCTGTTTTCCACACAATGGCATCAATGGAATTGAGATTAACATTGTTGAGGGGATTAGTATTAGGGGGCAGCTACTGGGAAACATGCATAAGCAACAAATGTTTATCTGTGGTATGTCTAGACTGGATTTGTTGCCAGTTGCAGACATAATGGGCCAAATGGCCTCCTTCTGTGCATGTCTGTGAGGCTCTGAGTATTGAACTAATGACTACCAGTAATCTTATCTCAGATTCTGCATTCAAACCTCGTCATCAGGGAACTACCTTATTGAAACCTTGACTACCATATGTGTCGGTTGCCAGGGCCTACAAACCTGACATACACACGGGCCCCCAACATGCCTTATTCATCAAAGTGCCTGATTGTGAATGTACACACTTTATCAGTAAGGCGTTCTGTGGGTCAGGGCTTTTATTCTGATTATCCCATTCAATATCATCTACAAGCATTAACTGGAATAACACTATGAGCTCTCACATCACCATCAAAACTCTGTATCTCAAATGTAACTTGCTGATCCTCTGGAAATGGGATTGCATTGTGCCATCTGTTAAAATAAACTGATGGCTCTAGCAAGTGATCATCTAAGCCTATGCTTCGTGCTGTCATCACATCCATGCCTAATCTCAATTAGGATTTTAATTTAAACTCAAGATATTTCCTAACCTGAAGATCATAACATTTAATGAAACCTGAAGTCAAGCTGTGTCTCTGGTAACCTGACAAAAGGTCTTATTATCACTGACAGTAAACACTCCTTCAACACTTGCAAATAAAACAAACAGTTCATTTCATTTTTGTAAATATATGAAACCATTACACCTGATTGGACACCATCTGAAGCTTTTTCCAGGTTCTAACTCTTGTTTAGAGCTAAGTATTTCCCTTTTAATGTATGTCTGCCAAGTTTAAACCAGCCAATTCCACAAATGTTTAGTCTTGGGTTTTGTGTGATTTAGATTACCATCCCACAGGAGAAGGGGCTGCCGAAGATTGTAATTATTCTCCCTATAGCCTGCTTATTTTTTAATAAATCTTCACTATGCTGTAAATGCCCAGATATTTTAAGGATCTGGGATTTCTTTCTCCAGAAAATACAGTACCCCATTTGAGGAAATATATGATACTGGGGCTATTTCAGTTGTAACAGAAAAATTAAAACTAATTTTACAATTTTATTAGCAGTCATTAATAAACAATACACTTCAGATGGATAAGTTCACTGTCATGCCAAAAACTGTCAAAAGATGCAGACTCAATGGACTGAATGGCCTAATTCCATTGCTATATCTTATGATCATATGTAATATTGATTCTAATATAATTCAGCTTGATGTTATTTATAACTATTCAAGAATATCTAGAAGATCTAGGATTACATAAGAATAGTTTAGAATAAAATATCTAACAATGTCTAAAAGTAAGGATATCCATCAACATTTAAAGTTTTACCTCACCTGGTGGGAGAAAATATCATTTGTGAAATGTTACTTGAGGGTCCCTCATACTTTGAAATTTCAGTGAAAGGTTCTTATTTTTCATATTATTTTGACCCCCTGCTGCTTTGCAAATGTGGGTGTTAACCCTCTGTATCTATTCCTCCCACTTTCATACAATACTGTCATCGAACATCGTTTCTTAATTCATTTGTGAAGATCTCTTTACGAAGGCGGAAATGAGCAGTATTTCTTTCTCTCAGAGGATTGTTAGTCTGTGGAATTCTCCTCTGCAGACAGCAGTGGATGCTGTGTCATTGCATATATTCAAGACTGAGTTTGACAGATTTAAGAGAGTCACGAGTGACGGGGACATAATAACATAAGAACCAGGAGCAGGTCTGGCCCTTCAAGCCCACTGCACCATTCAATAAGATCATGGCTGATCTTTTCATGGCCTCAGCTCCACTTACCCATCCTCTCACCATAACCCTTAATTCATTCACTGTTCAAAAAATGATCTATCTTAACTTTAAAAGCATCTGCTGGGTCCCTGTTGTCCACGGTGCTCATAATGTCTTCATAGAATTCCAGAAAATTAGTTAACCATGACCTGCCTTTCATGAACCCATGCTGTGTCTGTCCAATGGGACAGTTTCTATCTAGATGTCTTGCTATTTCTTCCTTGACGATCGATTCAAACATTTTCCCCACAACAGAAGTTAAGCTAACCGGCCTATAATTCCCCATCTTTTGTCTACCTCCTTTTTAAAACAGTGGCATCACATTTGCTATTTTCCAATCTGCCCCGGAGCCCAGCAAATTTTGGACAATTACCATGAGCGCATTTGCTATTTCTCCTACCGTCTCCTTCAGCACCCTGGGATGCATTCCATCGGAGGGGAGACTTGTCTTACCTTTAG